CTCATCTGCGGAGGAAAGCCTGCAAACACCGTTGCAGGCCAAAGGCTGATTTAACTCGAGGCTTACAGAAATATTGCAACACGTCAAACAGAATGGTAAAGCACATTTTCAAAGGCTTTTGTGTGTGTTTTTTTAAACTCACTTTGTGCACCAGGCAAAAATGACTTTTAAAGGTGTGAAAAACGTGCTTGAGAAAATGTTTACATGTAAAGCAGACAAAACTGTGGCGACTACGTCTTGTGGGAGAAGGAAACGACCTCACTGGACCTGGGGTGAGATGACAGTACTTATTGTGTCACAAGCTTAAAAATAAAGACATCCATTTACCAAATATTTGCTGAGCGCCCACACCCGCCCAGCTCACACACCAATTCACAGCACCAGCTCCGCGGGGCTCCCTGCGGTCCAGGCGGCTTTCCCCGGCTAACGCCGGAGGCCTCATTTCCACAGGCGCAGGGCCCAGCTGAGAGCCGAGCAGGACCAACGACCCGACCTCAGGATCGTTAGTTCCCGACACCCACCGCCTGGGGAGAGCACCCAGAGGGCGCCTACGGCGGCCCGCGAGGAAACGGAGGCGCTGCACCCGGAAGCTTGTCCGCCCGCAGAAAAGATGGCGCCTGGGGCGTCAGGGGTCCCTGCCCGCGGTCCTCCCGTCGGGGGCGAGGCCTACCAGGAGCAGGTGTGAGTTTCAGAAGCAGGTGTGCTCTGCTTTTTCCCGCCCTTTCCCTCCTCCCCTCGCTTTCCCAGCATTTGCTGAGGGTGGACAAGGAAAGATTCAATAAAATTCGACCAGAAGCACTCCACCCGGGACGTAATGGGACAGCCGCGCACGTAGCCCGGCTCGGGGGGCGGGGTCGGCCGGGCCCGGGGCGGGCGCGGGGCGGGGCGTGCTGGGGGCGTGGTCGGGCGGGCGGGGCGGAGCTGCGGTTGCGGTCCTAGCGCCCGCCGCGGTGGCGGAGGCGCCGGCGTCGGAGAGTGGGTGAGTGAGAAGCCCGCGGGGCGCCGGCTGTCCGGGGTCGGGGGACGGGACCGCGCGGGGCGGAGGCGGAGGCGGGGGCTGTCCCCCGGGTTCGCTTTTCCTCTCTTTCCCCCTCTCTTCCGTGGCCTAATCCGGGTGTCCCTGCCCGGAGACGAGTGGGGTTGTCTGCGTCCGGGCCCCGGGCTTCCAGGCAGCGGCGGCGGCCGGGGAGCAGGGGATGGGGACCGAGCCTCCCCGCCGCTCTCCCTCCCGCAGCCCCCGAGCCGGCTCCTCCTCGGGACCCGGTGTCAGACCAGTGGGACCCGCTGCCTCGCGGGCTCCACGGACAAGAGCCCGGGGCCCGAGAGGCCTGCCCCGGGGAAGGGCGAGAGGCCGCTCCGGACCGAGCTGGGGGCAGCGCGGGGGTCACGCGGCGGGGAGGGCGGCGTGGACCCTGCACGTCCGCGGGCCCGACCCTTTGGGCCGCAGTGCTAGGCTGCCTTAGGCTCCGTTCTGTGCGTCAGGAGCTGCTTGCTTCACCGTCCGCGGTCACGCCGATAAAGGAAGCATTGCGACTCGGGCATCACCGGGCTGATGGTATCAGTTTCAGAAAGAAGTGCACTGATTACAGGTCCGAGCGGCCCCGGGCACTCTTCCCGGCGCCTGCGTTCAGGGGGCACCGAGGGGGGTCAGGCACCTGCCCCGGAGAGATTCACGACGGTCCTTGTTCGTCTATGCAGTGTTTCCCAAAGTGTAGTATGCGTACCCCCGGGGGTACGGGGAGAGTCTGGTGGGAGTACGCGTTGCACCGGAGTTTGGGGGGGATATGCACTGCACCGTGCTTAGCTGCGCCGAATTATATGTTCTCATGAGTACGAGGGGTACTCAGCGTTATGAAAATTATAGAAGGTACACATATGTCAAAAGTTTTGGGAAACAGTGGTCTATAGCAAAGGAACAGCCTGGTGGAGGCCAGTGGATAAATTCCGATTAAAATTGTTACCATTCTTCACTTGTGTTGCAAGGGAAGGGGACACACACTACTTCTGGCATTACTTCTAATTTGTGCAAAAGGGCACCGGGAAATACTGTTAGGTAGGATCTTTCTCAGACTTTGGAAAACTTCACATAATGGGAGCATTACAGAAGCAAGTATATAACATATGGGCGACTGATAATATAAGAGTCAGAATACCTGACATGTGATGTTGGTGTATGTGACGAAGATACTGTTGCCAGCACCTCAGCCAAACCCTGCCACTCTTTAGGACAGGAAATCAGTTGGATTGGCCTTGTGATGAATGTTCCCTCTATGTATAGGAAAAATGAGAAAAATTATAGATCACATTACAGACCTTGCAGTAAGCTAGCACTCACCTGCTCCAGGAAACAATTGCATAGGGGCTAAATTTTTTTTTCCCTTATAAAGTTGACTTTTTTAAAAATCTTTATTTGGCTCCCTTAGCAGTCTAAAATGTTCCTTTCAGAGAAAGAGGTAAAAAACATAAAAACTTCCCCGCCTTTCAAGCCTATCCTTGGGCTCAATGTAAGAAGTTACAGGAGAAATTTGAAGCTGTGAGAGATGGCCTGATAGTGATATCTTGATCATCTCTGAGTCTTGCCTAATGAAAATTTAGAAAGTGCTGCACACTGTCTGGAGTTACCAGCAGTTCACTGTCAGTAAAGTTCGTGGGGCAGCTTCTGTCTGTTTCCTAAGGTGGGCGGACTTAGGTCCTGTTTCCCTCAAGGCTGGGAGAAGAGAAACAGAAAGCATGGCTACACGCTGGGTGGGTCTTAGTGATGGTTGAATTCTCATTTACCACTGCAGTCGTGCACCCCACTTTCTAAATACCAGTCAAAAAGAGATGACTGATACTTGTAAAGGTTTAAGAAAAGGCAAAGCTTCAGACCTACCACTCTGCTAACAGTTTTAGCAACTAATTCATATAATCTGCAGATGTTATTTTCAGAAAATATGTTGAATATATTTCCTCAACCCTGTTTTTTATAGAGTGGCAAGCCACCGTGCCACCCATTTTAGATCCTGGCTTCCCACAAAAGACTCTGTAGGCTAACAATGTTTGATAAGCCTCCGGGGAAGCTAACACTACATGTAAATAGATACGTAGATTAAAAAAAAAAAAAAAAAAGACTACTGGTTTTGAACTGGTATTTTTTTCTGCCACATTTGTATATATGGATTTTCCTCACCAAAATGATGACTTTAAGTGTTAGTAAAATCATTTTTACAGCTTTTAGTTAGACTTCTCTGTGACATTTCATTTCTCAAGTTATTTCTTTTGGCAGGATTTAAAACTTAATATGATGCTTGTCCTTCATTTTTTTTTTTTTTCGAATGATACTAGCAGTGAGAGTGAATGTAATTAATGATCTCTCACAGTTTAATTTTAACTATCAGTTAAAAAGTTTTGCCATAATCCAACCAGATTTTGCCTTAGGACTCAATTCCATTTTAGGAAATGCTTTTATTTTCAATGTAATGATGAAATGCTTGAGTTGCAATGTTGCCTTTATGACTATCCATCTTTTTAAAAAATATATATATTTTATTGATTTTCCACAGAGAGAAAAGGAGTTGGATAGAAAGCTAGAAACGTCAATGAGAGAGAAACATTGACCAGCTGCCTCCTGCACACCTCCTACCGGGGATGTGCCCGCAACCAAGGTACATGCCCTTGACCGTAATCGAACCTGGGACCTTTCAGTCCACAGACCGACACTCTTTCCACTGAGCCAAACCGATTTCAGCTTATCCATCATTTTTATCCAGGAAAAAAAGAAAAAGAGCAAAAGAAAAATATATTACAATACTATTTTATGGCTGTGTGTACACTTAATTCATTTCCTTGGCCTCCAGTTTGCTGTTGTTAAAGACAATAGCATCATTACAGTTTCAATTCAAATTACATACCTGTATTCTGTTATTGTAAACTGCTTAAGTTGTATCCAAAAAGTGACTATTTTAAACATGCTATCCAGCTTAGATCCACTTACATTGTGATATAATGCATTAAAAAGTAAGCATTCTGTAAATGAATTTCTGAAGTAAAAGATGCTCATGTAAGAACTGCCATTGTGTTAAACCATTTCTGCACATACTTAGTGTTTGCCAAGCTGTGTGTGCCTATTTTTGACATCATGATAAAAGTGTGCATTTAATGCTCTAAAAATAGAAGTCATTGCTTTTCATCAGTTTCTGAACTCTCTTGACAAGGTATAGATAAGTCCTTTAAGTAAAATGGTTTACTTTGACATGAATTTAGTTATAGATCAAATGTATTCTCCCAAAGCAATCATATAGGCAAAGATAGGGATATCGCACTTTAGCTAACAACTGCTGTGCTTTATACTTTTGGTGAATGGAATCTACAATTTAGACTTGCTTAAATGAAATTGTCATTTTTAAAATTTTGTGTCTTTGAATACAAATATCAAATTTTAATATTACACAAAACTAGAGGCCCAGTGCATGAAATTCATGCATGGGTAGAGTTCCTAGCAGCTGCCAGCTGCTGGCTGGGTCCTCCTTTTCCCAGTTGTTCACAGCAGACTGGGGCCTTCATTCCGCTCCACCCTCTGGTGGTCAGAGCACGTCATAGTGAGTGATCAAACTCCCTGTCAATCAAACTCCTGAAGGGACATTTTGCAGATTAGGCTTTTATATATACAGATAGTTGATTCCTTTTACACTAACATCATGTAGAGCATGCACCCTCAGTTTTAGTTCCTTGTCATTTTGGATTTCTAAGCATATTTTTGAATATAAGTGACAAGTTACTATGTATCATAAAATTACATCAGCAAACACTCAGTGTGCACCTGTCATACTAGTTGAATGCCTCTATCCTGGTTGGAGACATGCTTCCAAAACTTTTTGACTGAAGAGGAGAAAACTGCATATGCTGAAATTATTTGGATTGTTGATTAATGACTTTAAAATTGCTGAACCTAATCACTGTTTTGTGTGCCTTGTTTAGATATCCTTGGAGCATTCGGATAATGTGACAGTTGGGATGTAGTGATGTCGACTCTCTGCCCTCCACCATCTCCAGCTGTTGCCAAGACAGAGATTGCTTTAAGTGGTGAATCACCTTTATTAGCTGCTACCTTTGCTTACTGGGACAATATTCTTGGTCCTAGAGTGAGACACATTTGGGCTCCAAAGACAGAACAGGTACTTCTCAGCGATGGAGAAATCACTTTTCTTGCCAACCACACCCTCAATGGAGAAATCCTTCGAAATGCGGAGAGTGGGGCTATAGATGTAAAGTTTTTTGTCTTGTCTGAAAAGGGAGTAATCATTGTTTCATTAATCTTCGATGGGAACTGGAATGGGGATAGGAGCACATATGGACTATCGATTATACTTCCACAGACAGAACTTAGCTTCTACCTCCCACTTCACAGAGTGTGTGTCGATAGATTAACACACATTATCCGGAAAGGAAGGATATGGATGCATAAGGTGAGTGGTTCTGAGCTTATTAGTCATGTTAATTCAACCATTTATCTCCTGACACATTTATATGTAATTTCTAGAAATTATATGCAGCTAACTTCAAACAGTAGCTATTATTTGCAGATACCGTACTAGATACAGATAGGTCTAGTCTCATGTCTGCCCTACTCATAATGACTATCGAAGGTAGGAGATGATAGTTCCATGTTACAGAGAAAAAGCTAAAGCTTAGAGAAAGTAGAGAACATAAGTTTTAGATCCATTGACCTTATTCTTTTTATTTTTTTGGAATTGCATGCCTGTGTGTTTTACTTAGTACTTATTGTGTGGGTACAAGCATTCAAAACAATTGTTTCATAAGCAGTTGGTCATGAGCCTTTGATCCCTTTAACTTCTTTGCCAAGTTTCTATATTTGTAAAATGAGGACGTTGGACAAAATGGTTTCTAGGAGATTCCTGTCATTTCATTTTCATATCATAAATGATAGTCCGGTTTATTTAATTCCTCTTGCAGATTGGACTAGAGCAGTGACCAGCAAACTCATTAGTCAACAGAGCCAAATATCAACAGCACAACGATTGAAATTTCTTTGGAGAGCCAAATTTTTTAAACTTAAACTTCTTCTAATGCCTCTTTTTCAAAATAGACTCGCCCAGGCCATGGTATTTTGTGGAAGAGCCACACTCAAAGGGCCAAAGAGCTGCATGTGGCTCGTGAGCCGCAGTTTGCCAACCACGGGGCTAGAGGAAATTATTATTTCCTAAATCCTATAGTTTAATGTATAGTGATACTTCTGTTTCCATGTACTTTTGGCAGATATGAAGAACAAATTTATTTTACCTTTCTACTATGCAATTTGATACCAGTATTAACATGGAAATCCATTAAATAATTATTAATTTTATGAGACTTTTTCTAGATAGTAAGGAAAAATAGTATCTTTTAAAGGAATAGTTTCTTACCATGTTTGCAGGCTTGCCTCATTATTTTCATGTATATGAAAATTATTTAAAATCAGGAAGCTATATTCTCCAGGTTCAGCTTGAACTTAGTTCATTTGAAAGTGCAAATCAATATCTTTGTGAAACTATGCAGATTGACTGTTTTCTGTTAAATTATCTGTTTTTAACTGCCAAAAAAGGGTGGTTTTATGGTTATGTTTAGTTAATTCCCTCCCTCCCCTTTTTTTCTGTCCTTAAGTGAAAGTATTTTTCCCATTAACTAAATTACACAAGAACATGTCTGCTACTTAACTGTATTGTAAAAAATAAGTGTCAATGTTTTTTGTTTTTGTTTTTAATTGTCTTTATGAATTTTCCCTTGCTCAGGAAAGGCAAGAGAATGTCCAGAAGATAGTGCTAGAAGGCACAGAGAGAATGGAAGATCAGGTAAGGTGGAGACTGCACTCTGTCAAACACTGCCAGGCACACGGTGTGACTGTTAAGCGTGAGGGCTGTTTGTGTTAAGGCCTTGAGGCCAGATTAGTTTGACAGAGTGAGCCCAAAAGTGAACAGAGCCTTAATGGAGATGTGTGGAATGAACCTGATAGAAACCTTACACCTGAATAATTAAATGTAAGTCCAATAGTAATCGCATCTACAGATTAATATTTTGTTACCTGTTGTCCGTATCCACAGAGTAAATTTTGAATAACTTGCTTATAGTCAAAATTAAAAATTATGTTTGAGATTTTCTTTAAAGTCACGTTTCTCAGACATTTCCGCCGAAGTAGTTGTAACAGGAGGAAAGTGAGTACTCCTAAGGTATCTGTAAATGCAGGCACAGCTGTAAGCATAATATACCTTTGAAATGGTATCTTTAGAATTCATGCATTATATTTTATTCTATGAAATGTCTGTCTGTTTTAATGTTATAATTTGCTGGTGTTATTCCTCACCTTTATACGACTGGGCTTCTTGTAATACCAAGTCTCCTGGAAAACGTGCGTGTTTACCCCATGACTTTGAATACCCTTAGGGAGCAGGTACCAGAGTTTGCAAAGCATGATTGCAAAGAGAGGGCTCCCTGTAGAAATGAATACAAGCGATTTCAGCATAGGGCCTAGCAGTTCTTCTGAAGTGGACTCTCCAGTGGAGAAAGGGTTCTTTGCTTTTACTGCTCTTGCCCCAGCCACCCTATTTGTTCCTTTGAAATTCCAATACAGACATCATGGCTGGGTTTTCTTTTCTCTGGTTCTCTTCAGCATGCCCAAAATAGAATACTACTTTAAACAAAAATTTCCTTTTTTAAAAAAAAAATATTTTTTTATTTGTTTCAGAAAGGAAGGAGGAGGGAGGGAAAGATAGAAATATCAATGATGAGAAAGAATCATTGATTGGCTGCCTCCTGTATGCCCCCATCCCAGGTATGTGCCCTGACAGGGAATCAAACAGTAACCTCCTGGTTCATAGGTCAGTGCTTAACCATTGAGCCACACCAGCCAGGCTAAACAAAACCTTCTAAAAATTTGTGAAAATGCAAGGGCATTAAGTAAGGAAATACTTTCGTAAAGAACTTTCCAGACCAGTGGAGATTATTCTGGGGAAAGGTTTTGAGACTTACAAAAAATTGTTTCTCTTTATCCAGAGAAGTCCAGCCTATGCTTGTTAGTAAATAAGCAGCAGTGACTTTTGCCAACCTCTAGTTATGGAGTATTTAGAATTACTTCAAGATAAGGAAATTTAGAATCTAGTAAAATTTTGCTTTTACTGGGACTTTATTTCAAACCAGAGGCCTGTACTTACAAACTTACTACTGTTAATGAATGCTGTCTCGCTTTTAAGGGCTCTTAAAGACATTGTCCTACCCATTCTGTCATGAGGAATGTATACTGGGACAAACAAGGTTCTTAGAGGGGAAAACATTCTCTTGCTCAGAAGTTTAAGGTAGAGAAGTTGTAGGAGGAAAGGAACTGACCGGATTTTCTTTTAGAGCCTCTGTGTTCAGCCTCGTAAGATTTTTTTTGTTAAGCTTCAAGACTGATTTCATTTGCTTATGATGATGAATGTCAGATATTGTGTATGAACTACTATATATGTCTAAACCTAAGGGAAGGTATTTTCTCCAATTATCGTTTATGACAAGGAGTTGCCTGATAATTGAGGCTTTGCAAATCTCACATAATGTGCTTTCAATGACTTCATTTTAAACAATAAAGACTATTTGGGGATGACATGTAAGTGTGAAACAACTTCAATCAATGCTAGTTCTGGATGCTCAGAGTTGTCCTCTGATAAAATCACTGTACAAGGACACAAAAGTAACAGCACCTTCAGTCATTATTCTTGTTGATTTGTAGAGTTATTGATTGTAATTGTAAACAAGCATTTAAATTACTTTAAAAAGCAGAGCGTTTATGTTGTAGTGGTTATTATAGCTTAAATTTTTTTAATAGTAAAACCTTCTAGGATGCAAGGGAGCTTCCGGCTTAGGATAAAATTTCCAGAGACAGCATTACATTTATTTATGTAATTGTTTTTTTGGCTTTTTAAATTTTATTTAAATTTTATTTAATTTTTATTTAATTTTTTAAAATTTTTAAATGTTGATATATGCCTTACTATGTGAACCCCACACTAAGTCTAACAACAATTGCATATAAATTCTCAAGCAACTTACATGATCAGGGGGCTCTGAAAACTGGGTTAGGTCACTCAAAAAATGAGTGGAGGGATGACAGAAGTTATAATTTGAAGATGCATATGAAGAATCTACATCTCAAAGTTTATATATTGAGGATGGTCAGAAATTTTGGGAGAGTGGTAGTGATAGTGCATAAATGAGGGATCACTTGATTTTCAGAAGCTTTACATTTGTGATATTCTCTATTTTTACTCTAGAAACTACAGATTTCAAAATTATATTTTTGACATATAAAAGAAGTAGAAGTATTATCTTGAAAAAAAAAACTCTAAAGGAAACTTGTGTTTTATTGTATATTAAAATATATGTAATGTTTTTTATTTGTATCTGAGTAGCTTACTAGAGGCTCAGTGCACGGAAATTCGTGCACTCGGGGGTATTCCTCAGCTCAGCCTGCACCCTCTCACAGTTTGGAAGCCCTTGGGGGATGTCCAACTGACACCTTAAGCTTCAGTTGGACATTCTTAGTGCGCTGCCACAGAGGTGGGAGAGGCTCCTGCCACTGCTGTGCTTACCAGCCTTCAGCCCAGCTTATGACTGAGCAGCATTTCTCCTGTGGGAACACACTGACTACCAGAGGACAGCCCCACAACCTCCTGGGCCTGCACAACCTCCCTCCCCAACCCCCTCACCCCCTTCCATTGCCCTGCTGCCACTGGCACCACCTGCTCACCAGCCAGCCCCACCTTCCCACCGATCTGTCATTCCGCCTATGGTGAATTTGCAATTAAGCTTTTATTAAATAGGATTATGAACGTAGAGGTTCAGGCTTTACTACCAAGTTCATTGCTCAGGATTCTAAAGTGTTAAGCTTTGTTTTATTTATTTTAAAATATAAAACACACTGATGACATTTAATTAAGATATATCTCACATTTCCAAAGGAGAACATTTCTGAATTTGGGGTGATTATTTAATTATTGCATTTAACAGTAAATGATAAACCAGTGATTCTGTTGTAAGAAAATTATTTCCAGAATAATGGAAATGAGTTTTAAATAGCATGTAAATCCTTTAGAAACGTTTTGGAGTTGTAGACTTGTTTGGAGTTGTGTTTGAACAAGTAGCAAGTATTTCTATCTTTGCTTTCAGTATTTAATTTTTTATGGTCCAGCTTATCTTATATTGTGTGATTTTTCTTCACCTCATTTACTTTTCTGGGCAGGGTCAGAGTATTATTCCAATGCTTACTGGAGAAGTAATTCCTGTAATGGAACTGCTTTCATCTATGAAATCACACAGTGTTCCTGAAGAAATAGATGTAAGTTCTTATCTTATTAAATAGAAACAGTGGTAATCTTTATCCGTTTTTTTGTTACATTACTATTATGTATATTAGCAGTATTCTCATTTTATTATTATAATTATGATAATATTAAATTTATTTATTTGATCTCTTTTGTATTTTCTAGAAGTGGGATAATTTCAAACCTTATAGAAGCAATCAATATTTAATGCAGTACTTTTGGTAACAAAACAGTGTGTAATGGAAGTTTACCCGTATTCACTAATGTAGTTTCCTTAACCATTTGTTGAGGACATTTAGGGTTACATACTATGCATGTATAGAGAATTCTTTAGGAAACAATTTTTGTAGCTTCCTGACATTTTTGTCATTAGGATTTGTCTCCTGATCCTGACAGCTCAGAAGAGGGAGTTTTTCTAGTAACAATTGTTGCTTAACCTGCCTGACCAGCCATCACATTTGTTCTTCTGAAAGTTTACGTAGTGCACAGAGATTGTTTTATGGGGATTCCTGATGTTTAGAAATGAGGGCAATGTGTTATATTGAACCTAGACTTCAGAAACTTGTATAGTAAAAGTGGTTTTCAACATTGTTATACCAGAATTTTTTTGTGTGACTTTTAGATTGCTGAAACAGTTCTCAACGATGATGACATTGGTGACAGTTGTCATGAAGGCTTTCTTCTCAAGTAAGACTTTTGTTTATTGCCATAAAAGCTGAATGAAACAGATACAGACCTTATGCTTACCTATGAGAGGATATGGAAGGAAGGAAACAACAGAATACTACCCCATGTCTTTGTAGGGACAACATTGCATATGTGAACTATTACTCAGCTTTGTGTTATCTTTTCATTTCTTACATATCTCTGATATATTTGATGTTACTTTTTTCTTAATATCTAAAGAAGCTGAGTTTCGATAATGCCCAGACAAGAAATCTTAGTCCCTTGTTTGATTCTGGTTTCTTGTTTTACTTCTCATTAAAGCTGAAACTGATAATTTTTTCAATATATATTGAATATACTTGAGTTATTTGGGCCTAGAAAAGAAAGTGGGCTCTAAAATCAGATTTTCCAAGTTACTGCTGTATAACCTTGGGCAAGCTACCTGAACTCTGTGCCTCCGTGCCTTTATCTGCAAAATGGGAATAATAATAACAATATTTGCTTCATAGGATTGTTTTAAGTGTTTAGTGAGATCAATTAGATTAAGCATTTAAAATAGTGCGTGGCTGCCGAAACTGGTTTGGCTCTGCGAACTGAAAGGTCCCGGGTTTGATTCTGGTCAAGGGCATGTGCATTGATTGCGGGCACATCCCCAGTGCGGGGTGTGCAAGAGGCAGCTGATTGATGATTCTCTCTCATCTAACTCTCTATCCCTCTCTCTTCCTATCTGTAAAAAATCAATAAAATATATTTAAAAAAATAATAATAAATAAATAAAATAGTGTGTGGCACATAATAATAGCTGACATTTGCAATTTATATTTCTTTTAAAGAAAATGATAATAATAATAGCCAGTATTTATTGAGTGCCTACATGTTAATCCCTAATCTAAGTGATTTGTCTTCATGTATAATCTCATCTTGTGCTTTAGTGTTTCTTCACAATTGCAGATTATCATGAAGTTTTACTTATTTTTTTAAATATATATTTTACTAATTTGAGACAGAGAGAAAGGAAGGAAGAGGGAGAGAAACATCAATTGGGTGCCTCTTGCATGCCTCTCACCCAGGGATTGAGCCTGCAACCTGGGCATGTGTCCTGACCAGGAATGGAACTGTTGACCTCTTGGTACACAGGACCATGCTCAACCAACTGGGCCACTCTGCCAGGATATGAAATTTTATTTTTAAAAATGAGGAATGAAAAATGAGGAGTGCTCTTATGCCCAACAGTTTTTTTCTTTAGATTTATGATGGAGAATGGTAGAGGTGAGAGTGAGTCTAACCTAGAGCCTTAAATAGCTTGAATCAGAAGCTCATTAGTCCTGATTCTGTTCAGTGTTAGCCATTCATAGCATTAATTTTAGTTCCCTTTGACTTTAAGTCACTTAACCTCTCTCTATACCTCAGTTCCTTCCACTATAAAATGGTGATATTTTACCAAATGGGTTGTTTTAAAGTTCAAATGAGATAATCGCTGTGAAAGGCATGTAAAAATGAGATGGCATTATATTTATAGCTTTGATGTTTCACATGGAAAACTATTCTAAATAATTTGAATAGCTTTCCTTCTTTCCTTTTACTTTGTGAAGTTGTTTTACAGCCAATTTTTAAAATTTTTTTTCTTCAATTTACAGTGCCATTAGCTCACACCTGCAAACCTGTGGCTGTTCTGTTGTAGTAGGCAGCAGTGCAGAGAAAGTAAATAAGGTAATGTATTTTATAATCTAGTGAATAATCTCATTTTTTTAATTCTGCTAACATACCATAGGTTGTAATTTAAAGGTTAGGTTACAGACAACATGATCTAACAGTAAAAGGCAATATGACCAAGTAACTGTGACACTCTAAGCAAAAAGGAGGGTTCCATGGAGAAAGTCTGCATATTATTATATCAGCCACCTGGAGAGGCACAATACGTATTCAAATGTTAAAGGTTTTGAGATATACTGAAATTTACCAGCATTTCCCAAACTTATTTGACCACAGAATCCCTATTTTTAGCAACAATTGTTATCATCCATGGACTATTCTGTGTGACTACGAAATATTTATTTCTCAGGATATATTTTATTGGCAAAAACAATTGAAATTTCAATTCTAATTTCTTTCATAAGCAAACCAATGCTGTGTGTGTTTTTTACATTATATTTTAATGCTAAATTCTTTTCTTTTACAGATAGTAAAAACATTATGCCTTTTTCTGACTCCGGCAGAGAGAAAATGCTCTAGATTATGTGAAGCAGAATCATCATTTAAATATGAGTCAGGACTCTTTGTCCAAGGCCTGCTAAAGGTAGAGTCTACACTTGTCACAAGTGAAAGCGGTTTTTGAACATTAGTATTTAATGTATCTCATGTTTTTATGCCAGGGGCCGGCTTCCTTTGCAGAGACTGAGCATAGAGTCTATGTCTTATTGTTTTATGGTTGGTATCAGAGATATATCACAGAACATCTTTATGTTTCTCTCTGGTTTCCTGTAGCTGCCTGTTTGTCTTTAGGATTTTTAATTTTTTTAATATGTGCTTGAATCAGGTTGATTGTCTAAAATGGGAACATTTAATTTTTTTTTTACTGAACAAATTTAAATTTTTGTGTTACCATTTTGTTTGATTGTCTAAAATGGGAACCTTTAATTTTTTTTTTTTACTGAACAAATTTAAATTTTTGTGTAACCATTTTGTTTATGTACCATATTCATTTATTGAAAAAAAATTAAAGCTTTTTTCTAACTTGAAAAAGAATATAAATTTTTATCAATTCCTGTGTGTGTATTAAAAAGTTTTTTTTATTTTTCTTTTATTTGTTTAAATCTGCTTTTGAAGGGAAAAGACAGATAAATATTAATTAGCCATTATTTTGAGTAATTATAGGGAGGACAGTTAATCACTTTATCAAACCTATTGCTGATTTTTTTAATCATAATCAAACACATGAAGTTACAGATTCCTAATGCTTATGGGATTATCTCATAATGGATGCTTTCTTGAAGGTGTAGATATAACAAAACGGACAAAAAATTGTTACAAATAAAAATTATATTCAACTTTTGCATTCTCAATAATGGGCATGCTATGAGCTCAAAATAATAGTACTTAAATACAAAAACTATTTAAGGGAAACTCATTTCTGGTTTGAATTGTACAAATCTGAAAATTAGAACTTCTTCCCTATAAAAAACATAGGTATTTAGTACTTTTTTTTCCCTCAGCGACCTCTCATTTAATTATATAATTTTATTCCTAAAGTGTTTTATATTAGATTCATATAGGAAAGCTTCAAACTATAGCATAATGAAAATATATTTAAAAATTTTCTATGTAGTTATAAATTTTGTAGCCTTTTAGAAAATGGTTTGACATTATATATCAAGAGCCTTACAGACATTTAAAGACTTAACTTACTGTTTCTACCTCTGGAAATTCTTCTTAAAAAAACAATTATATGTGCAGAAGATTTACATATAAAGATGATTATCACAGCATAATAGGAGTAAAAAAAAATGGAAACAGCCTTTATCTTTTATTCTAGCACATAGCACAGTGCCTTATACAGAGTATGTCCTTATTCCAGGGCAGCCTAGAAAGAAGTGCATTCTTTACTTATTATAAAAATACACATATGATTAAAATTTAAAAGAGCATGTGAATAGCCAAGAAGAAATGGTCATTTCTCACAATCCAGAGAATAACTATTGTTAATATTTGACATGTATCTTCTGGTCTTGTTTTCTTCTGTATGTATTTTTTTCACATCTCCCCTCACTCCCCCCAAAAATTGGATTATACTTTGCATGTTCTAACCTGTGGGGGGTTTATTTCACAATATATTGTGAACATCTTTCAATATCAACACTTAAACTTCTGCAGTTTAATTTAATCACTTCTTTTTTTTTTTGATTCTTAGTTGTTTCTATCACTAAAACTTTTTACACAATCATGAGTAATATCTGAATATAAATTTCTAGAGATCGACTTGCTAAATTGAAACAAGGGTATTTGTTTGTTTAAATAAGTCTTTATATCATTTAGCAAATAAGACAGTGACTTTTTCTTTCATCGGGACAGGATTCCACTGGAAGCTTTGTGCTACCCTTCCGGCAAGTCATGTATGCTCCCTACCCCAGCACTCACATAGACGTGGATGTCAACACTGTCAAGCAGATGCCGCCCTGTCACGAGCACATCTACAATCAGCGCCGGTACATGCGCTCCGAGCTGACAGCGTTCTGGAGGGCCACTTCAGAGGAGGACATGGCTCAGGACACGGTCATCTACACCGACGAGAGCTTCACTCCCGATTTGTAAGTCATGCTGTCTTTTGATATTGTCGTTAAGCAGTATTATGAAATTGTATCTTTTGTGAGTAAGAGCAAAACAGATGAGTTTGTGTTTAAAAGGAAAGAAATGTTACTGTGAGTTATGCTTGAAGAAATACTTGGTTAGCCGAAACCAGTTTGGCTCAGTGGATAGAGCGTCGGTCTGCGGACTGAAAGGTCCCAGATTCGATTCTGGTCAAGGGCATGTACGTTGGTTGCAGGCACATCCCCGGCAGGGGGTGTGCAGGAGGCAACTGGTCGATGTTTCTCTCTCATAGATGTTCCTAGTTTTCTATCCCTCTTCCTTTCTCTCTGTGGAAAATCAATAAAATATTAAAAAAAAAAAAAAAAGAAAGAAATACTTGGTTAATCAAGCATTTATTCTTAAATGTTTATTTTTCTTACTGTAATCGTGTTTCTCATAAGATAGGTTAGATTAGTTTTTTAAAATAAACATTTAAATATTTAACAAATATCTATTGAGCCCTAAGCACAGTACTAGCTACTAAGGTTAATAGTGGCCAGACAGCCCCAGCTCTAACATTGCTTATAGTCACATGTATAGGAGTCACTGAAGAGCTTACTAACTAAACCAAAGAAGTCATTCTAAGTCTTTTCTTTCTTGATATATGAATATAAAATACAACAAAACTGTCAAAAATATCAATAGAGCATTCTTTTACTTTGAATTTTATATTGTGGTATTCATTCCTTGTCATAAAGTCTGGTTAGTATTTTAAAAAGATAAAAAGTAATGATAATAAAATAGTCAGTGTTGACCCAATTAGGAAAAAATGGTGATGATAAATATGAGTTATAAAACCCTAAGTTAACACTGAAATTATAGGTACTTTCCTATTTACTTCTGAAATCAGGAAAAGATTTGTAGCATACTGGATACATTATGATTCTCTTTAATTAAAGTGCCTGGCACATAAAATGTGCTCAGTAAATGTTAACTAGAATCATACAGCTTTGAGTATATACAGGAGCAGTAAAATTGGAGTGATCAGCCTGCCTGTTTTTCTAAGAAAATTTTGAGCTCAGGCAATAGACATGTGGAACACCAGTAGTCACACAGAATGTGCTGACCAAAAACAGAAAAGGAACACCATGTCCACCAGAAAGGGAGCACATGTCCACCCGAAAGGGAACACCATGTCCACCGGAAAGGGCACACATGTTCACCGGAAAGGGCACACATGTCCACCAGGAAGGGCACACATGTCCACCTGGAAGGGAACACATGTTCACCAGAAAGGGAACACATGTCCTCCGGGAAGGGAACACATGTCTGCCGGAAAGGGAACACATGTTCACCGGGAAGGGAACACAATGTCCACCGGGAAGGGAACACATGTCCACCGGAAAGGGAACACATGTCCACTGGAAAGGGCACACATGTCCACCGGAAAGGGAACACCATGTCCACCGGAAAGGGAACACATGTCCACCGGAAAGGGAACACATGTCCGCCGGAAGAGGACCATGGGATCTCAGCCTAGTGTGTCCCAGGTGCAGAAAGATGACTTCATTAGGGCCTGTCTTTCCCAGCTCTCCAGTGTTCCTGTTGGTTCCTTAAAAAGCTTTAGGGAAATTGGTTAGAATATGAATTGTTCAAAATTGGAATTCCAGGTCACTAAGCTTTCATGTGCAGTATTGGTAATTTGGTACACATGTAAAAGTTCTCAGAATTCTTTTGTTCCTTCAAGCATTTTCTTCTTTCCTAAAGTATTTAGTTTTTTTTGTTGTTGTTGTTGGGTTTTTTTTTTTTGTTTTGGTTTTTTTTTTTTGGTTACTTCATAGCTCTTTTGGGGAATTTGGTGAACCTTAGAATGGGTTTTCAGCCATCTATGTAGTATTTTTTTAGAGAAGATATGTGTATACTTTAACATTACTTTTAATTTATTTAAAACAATATCACTAATTTTTAAGATATTTTTTTTAATTTGTTTCAGAAAGGAAGGGAGAAGGAGAGGGAAATAGAAATATCAATGATGAGAGAGAATCATTGATCAGCTGCCTCCTGCAAGCCCCCTACTAGGGATCAAGCCCAGAATTCAAGCATGTGCTCTTGACTGGAATCAAACCCAGAACCTTTCAGTTCACAGGCCAGTGCTCTATCCACTAAGCCATACCAGCTAGAGCTATTTTTTAATACTTTGCTTTATCTAATTCATTATGAACAAGATACTTACTCAGTGAAACAGGCATCTTAAGAACAGCGGGCTTTAAACAGCCTATTCCCTCTCCAAAACCAGAGAAGGAGTGCTGTCAGGTCCACATTGGCCACTAACTGGATACCTGTAATTATGAAATGCTATCTCCCCCAACCCCCTCACGTTTTGGGTTTCCTTCTGTTGTTTGGTATACTCTTCTCTTATAACTAGGAAATTTTAGGTACTTTCCTATTTATTTCTGCACACACACCTCTTCCTGCTACTCCTCTCATTATTACTATTTTCAGTTAAAAATTGCTTATCTTATTAAATGTTACATTACCCTTTTCTCAGTAAACCCTCTAGGGAAGTAGAAGGCAAGGAGAGGGAAGGAGAAGGGGGAAGATTAAAGGGGTTCAGACCTGGGAAGATAGCTGTCTCTCTTTTTTTTTTTTTTTTTAATATGTTTTATTGATTTTTTACAGAGAGGAAGGGAGAGAGATAGAGAGCTAGAAACATCGATGAGAGAGAAACATCAACCAGCTGCCTCTTGCATACCCCCTACTGGGGATGTGCCCGCAACCAATGTACATGCCCCTGACCGGAATCGAACCTGGGACCTTTCAGTCTGCAGACCGACACTCTATCCACTTTGCCAAACCGGTTTCGGCGAGAGCTGTCTCTTTTTATGCACCTGCTCTGCCCTGGGTGGTGTGTTAGATGCACACTCTCTCAGGTGGGCATTATATCTTAACTTCCTGTCTGATCGTAGACAAGGCAGATGATGCTTTCCTAGAACATTAGCTGGTTCATGTAACTTGCCAATTGATAGGCTCATGATGCAAACCCAGTGGTTGTCATGTTGCAGATAGTCATCTAGTTGTGTTTCTTAATCCCACTCCAGTGATAGCTAGCATCCATCCTTTTGTCTTTCTGGCTGGTGTAGGATTATGGAAATTAGCATTGTGTAGCCATTTCAACATTTGGAGTATTTTCTTCACAGGAATATTTTTCAAGATGTCCTACATAGAGACACGCTAGTAAAAGCCTTCCTGGATCAGGTAAATGTTATGACATGATTTTGTTTTTTTATTTAATGCATCCTACAATGCCTGTACTCTGTATATAGTAAATCTTAGAATTGAGTCATTATCTTTCTGTAGTGTCTCTGGTCTTTTTGAAAGTATCTACATCATTTTTCTTTTGAGTTGTTAATAAGTAGTAGTCTGAATACTAACAATTAAAGATGCATCATTCCCCCATTCAAATAATAAATGTTTTCTTTTGTGCGGGAGAAGGAAGAGGGTGCATAAATGTTTTTTATTTACCTTAATTGGGTCAAAATGTCTTTAAACCCTGTACCTCTCTTTCAATGATAGCATTTTTATTGTCTCCTTCTTTTGGGAAAAAAAAAACTGCTTAATTATACATTTGAATAAAATTCTAGATTATATGGAACTTATTTCTTAATATACTAGAGCTTTGTTATAGTATCATTCTGAGGATTAGGTCAGGAAACTTTGTCATAGATGCAGCTTTGAAATAATGAGGTCCTTGGGCTTACTAGACATTTTTGATCAGGTCTATAGTCCGTAACGTATCCCAAAGTTCAAAGATAATACATAGTCGTGTGATTCCGTATTTCTCAAGCTGAAATGAGATCCTTCTGCTATAGCTGTACCCTCCCCATGTCCGTTCCCTCTCTCGCCAGCAAGAGGGATATGAATATCTTAAAATCATAAATTAAGTGGGGCTCAACTTCTGGGAGCTTCAACTTTATTTGAAGATGTGGGCAGAAAAAGTCAAGTAACGTAATTAGAAGTAACCTATAAGTATGATTTTTTAAAATTATTTTAGAGAGAAAAAGGGAGAGAGAGACAGAAACATCAGTGTGAGAGAGAAACATCGATTGGTTGCCTCTAGCATGAACCTTGACTGGGAATAAAACCTGCTACATTTTGGTGTATAGCATGGTGCTTCAACCAACTGACCAATTATTATTTTTAATAATAAAAATAAATATGAGTGTATTCTGAGGTAGAATGAAAAATACTAACCCTTAAATATAGCATAGAATTGTCAGACTGCTTCCAGACTCAGTACTTCTGCCATACTCCTGTCTGCTAGGAGAACATCTGTGGAAATGATTGCGGGAACTGCTCGAATGTACATTATCTGCCAGACTCTGTTAACACTATGATAGAAACATGCTGTGTAAGTAGAATGAGAGCAAAATATTTATTAAAGCATTCATTTTCCTGTAGGTCTTTCATTTGAAGCCTGGTTTCTCTCTAAGGAGTACTTTCCTTGCACAGTTTCTGCTTGTCCTTCACAGAAAAGCTTTGACGCTAATAAAATATATAGAAGATGATACGTAAGTAAAACTATATGGAAGAAAAACCTTTGTGCATTTTAAAAAATTGTTCCTTTTGAGCATTTTCTATATTACATATTTATTATGATTATTATTATTATTTGTAGGCAGAAGGGGAAAAAGCCGTTTAAATCTCTTCGGAACCTGAAGATAGACCTTGATTTAACAGCAGAGGGCGATCTTAACATAATAATGGCTCTAGCTGAGAAAATTAAACCAGGCCTGCACTCCTTTATCTTTGGAAGATCTTTCTATACTAGTGTACAAGAACGAGACGTTCTAATGACTTTTTAACCGTGTAACTTACTAAATATATTTCATCTCACTCATAATTGCTGCTAAAGTAGCTCAGTTGGTATGGGACACATCAGTCCCTGAGGTCATACTTCCAAGTCCAACTTGGCAATGGCAGTTAAACTCAGTTACACTACCGCTGTCACCAGAAATCTGTGAAGGGTGTCAGGCGCATCGTTAGCAGTGGGTGGATCTTTTCCTAGTTGTGCTCTCTTGGGATACAGACTTATGTTTACAATTATAATAAATATTATTGCTACCTTTAAAAAAGATATAATAATAGAATATAAACTTGACCACAACTACTGTTTTTTTGAAACTTAGGATTCATGGTTTACATGTATCGAAGTGAAATCTGAGTTAGCTTCCAAAGATGGAGTGCTAGTTGACTTTGCACTTTTTGGTGATTCTTGGTATACGGGATTACTAATACTGTTGCAATCAGCTGAAAACTAGAGCTTCTGAATCATTTCGTTTTCATAGACAGGAAGCTAACTTGAACCCAGGGTAAGCTTGAGAAAGGAAATATTGTTCAAGCAGATGTTTAGTTAAAGTTAATTATTAGATCCTTCTTAGTAGATGTAGTTATTCAGAGTCAGTCTGTGTAGAAATGTCAGGCAATGTGTAGTCCGGTTGTGATGAACGCAATCAGGGTGGTTTTGTTTTGATGCTAAGCTCTATCAAAGAAAATATAGGAAGTTGGATTTTATGTTGTAGTAGTTGTTGTCAACTTTTTAAATTAATGTTCATTATTTGTGAGCCAACTGGAAATGTGTACTCCTGTGTCCTTTTTTTCCTTGGGGACTTTAATTACTTGGAAGAAGCTTGGATTTCACTGGTCAGTCATTGTCATCTTGTTTTTTTCTTGTAAAGTCTCCCTGATGGCAATCATCGTAATTCTGAAACTATGAAATGCAATAGAGAATATACCAATAGATTTTTTCAGTAATAGAGGATAGTACCTTGACTTCTTACATTTCTGCACATATGTTTTAAGTTGTTGCTGTGTGTCTTTGCCTGCATCGTCTGAGGTGTAGCAGGAGACCCTTGACTGACATGCTATTTAACTAGGTGCTACTTTGGCAGAACTGACTTGTCTATTTCTGGTGTTTTCTTAATGTGTTTGGACCATTTTGCTGGCTACAATATAACTGATTAACATAATTCTGTGCTAGAAAAGTATTGTCATAGTAGTAGTATGTGCAAGCATAAAGAATTATTTAAAACTGTGAAAGTAACACAAAAGGGAAAAATATTTATAAGAAAGGGATAAAAGAGAGAGAGCCCCTCTGCCCTTGCCCAAATTTAACCAAAAACATGTTCTGTTTTGAAAAGTCTTAATGGCCTTTCACATCATAATAAGTATTTTATACACACAGAACTAGATGACTGATGCTGTCATGAAGAAATGTACACATACCACCTTATTGTACCCTATCCTCACTGTTTTTTACACGATAAATTATTGAAGTGCTGACTGGTTTTCTTTTGTTGCTGGTTTATTATTGTTATTTAGAATGCAAGTTGTACAGTGAAATAAGTTATTAAAGCATGTGTAAACATTGTTACACATATTTTCTCTTGGAGAATTTTGAATAAAATATCTTTGAAATTTTGTCTCTTATGGTTGTTTGTTTAGAAAAGCAATGCTATGGTACTGAAAGACTGTTTTCCTGTTCAGCTGACAGTCTTACTGAATCTAAACGTCTTTCTTTTATTTTTTACTAGAGACCCAGTGCACGAAATTCATGCATGGGAGGAAAGGGGGAGAGGTGTCCCTCAGCCCAGCCTGCACCCTCTCCAATCTGGGACCCCTTGAGGGATGTCTGACCGCCCATTTAGGCCTGATCCCACCAAGCCTAAACTGATGGTTGGACATCCCTCTCATAATCCAGGACTGTTGGCTCCCAACTGCTTGCCTACCTCTGCCTGATTACCCCTAACCAATTCTGCCTGTCAGCCTGATCACCCCCTAACTACTCCCCTGCCAGCCTGATTGATGACTAACTGCTCCCCTGCCAGCCTGATTGATGACTAACTGCTCCCCTGCCAGCCTGTTTGCTCCTAACTGCCCTCCCCTGCTGGCCTGGTTACCTGCCTCCCCCCCTCCCCCAACTGCCTTCCCCTGCAGGCCTGGTCCCCCAAAATTGTCCTCCCCAGCAGACCTGATCTTCCCCCCCCCCCCCCCAACTGCCCTTTCCTGCTTGCCTGGTCTCCTCCAACTGCCCTCCTCTGCTGGTCCAGTCACCCCCAACTGCCCTCCTCTGCTGGCCTGGTCACCCCTAACTACCCACAACTGCCCTCCCCTGTAGGCCATCTTGTGGCAGCCATCTTGTGTCTTGGAGTCAATTTGCATAATCCCTTTTTATTAGATAGGATTTTGAAAGAAAATACATGTAAAGTTCTATTGATGCAGGTGAAGGGGAGCAGAGTTTGCCATCCTACAATAGGCCTTTTGGGATATTGGTTATTTTAATCTTTATTTTTAAGAAATAAATGACTTAACAGAACCTTTGACTTTCCCCCAATTGCCTAAAAACATTTAGCTGGAGGACCTTCACCAAGAGGGGAGAGACCTTCACAATTAACTGTAGTTTCATATGAACTAAGTCTGATAAGCCAGGAGGAATCGAGCAAGGCACTTTTGATTCAAGTCTGTGTTGCACAGTTAAAGCTGGCCCAGCAAACAGTTATTTACCAAACATTGGCTTTTCCCTATTTTGGTAAATTGCTTTCCTGCCCTCTGAAGTCCCAAGCCACAACCCACCTCCTCCCTCCTTAGTTCAAGATGAGTTGTAAGCCTTTACTGCCTGATAGGTCTTGGGATCTCATATTCTATGGAATGCCCATGTGTACCTACATAATAAATTTGGTCACTTGCTCCTGTTAATCTGTCTCATGTTAATTTGGTTATTAGTCTAACCAGAAGAATTTAGAAGGTAGAAGGAAAATTATTTTTCCTGCCCCCTGCACTAGAATCTTATGTAAATCTTTATTTAAAAAAAAAAAAAGTCTTCCTGCTTAACTACCAGGATTGCATTTTGATGTTTTAAATGTGTACATTAATATTTCAAATGTATGATAATTATTGGGTAAATACATTTTAAAATTCCTGTTATAATGATATTGATGTAGCAGGGGTTACAGGGTTATAATAATATTGATGAAAGAGGATTACAGGGTTATAACACATAATGTACCACTTGTCATATACAATAAGTATCTATAATGAAAACTAATAGAACTGTAAGGAGAAACAGGCACTCTATAGTTAATATGTAGGGATTTGATACCCCTAAGACAATGTTTGATAGAACACGAAAACACAAAATAGGCATATAGAAGACTTGAACAAGACTGAAAACCAACTTGAAATGTGACGTTGTAGCACACAGCAGTGCCTAACAGTAATAGATTACACATTTACACAAGGAACATATTCTGAGCCATAAATCAAGTCTCAATAAACTTAAAAGGATTCAAGTTACACAATGTGTAATCTCTGATCACATGGAGTTAAATTAGAAATGAATAATAGATATCCAGGAAAACCTCAAACAGTTGGAAACTAGCACTTTTAAAAGATTAGATAATTTCTAAATTGTGTATTGGGGGATGAGAGGAATGGATTGCAGATCAGAAAGGAAGGAATTGGTATGGTGGGGTGATTTTATGAGGAGTGGAAGGAACTCACCCTGCCTTTGATGTCTGCCCCCTACAACCCGTTTTTCACATGGACTGGAACAGCACACGACCCTTGTGAAATCAGATCTGATGGTCACTTCCGTTTAATGGCTCTGTATCATTTATGAAAATAAACCTGAAATCTTTGCAACAGTTTCTGGTCATCCCTGTGACCTCACTGTTCCACTCTCACTTCCTAGTGCTTCCTCTTTGGTTGCATCTGTTCACTGTGCCTGTGCTTTGTCTCCACTGCGAGGCTTGAGTACATCCACGTCCTTTTCACTTTTGTGTCTCTGCCGAGTGTGGTGCCAGGCACAGAGCAGAAGTTGAATGAATATAAAGAGTATTTTAAACATTTTCTCTGCCCTCTCCCCAAAGAGTCAGTTCCTGAAAATTAAGGAAATGGCTTCATCAGGAATTCCCCCGCCCTTTTAGAAAGTCTTTCATTAAAATTGAGCCTATGCACAATCTAGCTCTAAAATTTCAAAGACTTGAAGGCAGTGGTTTTCAATCTTTTTCAGGTAATAATACCCTATCGTTTTCTGTTTCTGCATCTGTGCCTCACTATCTCATCTCTTGCTGAAATATTCTTTTTAAATTAATAGCTTGATAAATTGCTAAGCAGCTTTCATCAGACCAATTGGGACAGTGGCAGGTATCCATCTGTGAGTGCGGACATTTAAGAAATGTGATCCTGTATTTAGAAAAAAATCATTCCCCCAGCTCAGAGTTGGTTCCAACTGGCACCTTCTGGCATTTGCTTGTGGGTGGGGAATGTGGAATGCTTTGAAAGCTGAATGGATTTGTCAAGTTTCACAATACCCTTATGGCTGAAGGAAAACAGCATTCATTGTTTAAAATCACCATTGTTGGTTGTTTCTGCTTTTCTGCTCTTTGGAGACTGGTTCTGCAAAAACATTCACACCCAGCATTTTGCTCCTCATACCTCTCCTCACACATTTTCTGGAGACCTGAGAAGCCTGGAAACCTTTTTGGGGGCTTGTTCAGAATGTTCAGAACAAATTGAAAAAGTCCATTTTAGTGCTTAAGCTGAATTTTATGGAGAAGGAACATATTCCTATCCTTGAAGGCAGACGGTAGTTAATAAGAGCTTGGGTCCTGGAGTTAGACTTCCAAGGCCAAAGCCCTGTTTTTCACTTCTTAGCTGTGGCCTTGGACAAGATCTTCAGCCTCTCTGTGCTACCTCAATGTCCTCATCTATTAAATAGGAATAAGGATGGAACCTACATAATCGGGTTGTGTGACTATAAGTGGGTTAACACATGCAGAATACTTCCAGGGAACTGGCACAGAGT